ACTTGCAAAATGCAATGCGGCTCGGAGGGTAGTGCGTCAGTCATCCAAGTACGTCCTCATAGACGGACAACTGTACAGAAGATCCTTCACGCTCCCTTACCTGCGCTACCTGCGACCCTCAGAAGTTGAGCACGTACTTTGCTACACCCATGAAGGCTTGTGCGGTGGACACTTGGGGGCTAGAGCCCTCGCATAGAAAGTGTTAAGGCAAGGCTATTATTGGCCTACAATGAAAGTAGATGCACTCGAGCTCGTCAAAAAGTGTGATAAATGTCAAAGGCATGCCAATATCCACCATCAACCTGCTGCTGATTTGAAATACCTCACCAGCCCGTGGCCCTTCGCGTAGTGGGAAATCGACATCCTTGGTCCTTTCCCGCCAGCAACAAGGCAGAGGATGTTCTTGGTTGTAGTAGTAGATTATTTTACGAAGTGGGTGGAAGTCGAACCCCTGTTAACAATCACAACCCGTAACATACAGAATTTCTTCTGGAAAAGCATAGTATGTCACTTTGTACTACCCCAGGTGTTGATATCCGACAATGGGAAGTAGTTCGAAGATGTTAAATTTCAAAACTAGTGTGTCGAGATGGGGATTCAGCAAAACTTCACTTCGGTGGCACACCCCCAAGCGAACGGACAAGCAGAAGTAACTAATAGGGCGATATTTCACGGATTGAAAGCTCGCTTAGCTCGAGCAAAGGGATTGTGGGTGGACGAACTGCCCAGTGTCCTTTGGGCTTACCGAACTACTATCAAGACCGCGACGAGTAAGACCCCTTTCAACCTCACGTATGGCATAGAGGTGGTGCTCCCAGCAGAGATCATGGTACCCACATTGCAATTTGAGGCCTATGATGAGGAAACAAACGATGACGAGTTTCGTACCAACCTGGACCTGGTAGAGGAGGTGTGAGACCTGGCCTATATTTGGACCGCGACCTACCAGTAGAGAGTAGCTCGGTACTATAACGCTCAGGTCAGGAAACGATTGTTCCTTGTTAGCAACCTGGTTCTCCGAAAAGTTATGGTACCTGAGCCCGGCGTAGGTAAGCTCGGACCGAACTGGGAAGGTCTGTACCGTATAAGGCGGGTGTTCGGGGAAGGCACATATGAACTCGAGACTTTGGAAGGGAAGCATGTACCTCGAGCATGGAACATCGGTAACCTAAGAAGGTACTACTTATGAGCCCATGGCTCCAAGGTAAAATTTCTCTAAGTCCATAGGATAACCGAACTTGTCAAAAAAGACGACGAATTAGAGAGAGGACTGTGAGTCACTCCAAGAAGCCTAAGGGCTACGGTGTCGAGCTGACCAAAGATCTCGGCACTACAATAAGTCCTAGTCACCTCTTCGGCATAGGCACAACGACTCCCAATCGCCTCTTCGGCTTACGCAAGTAAGTAACCCGTGCATAGACAAGTCGGGTGTATACCCTATAGTGTCTATCCACCTCGGCGTACAACAATACAAGGCTATTCCTACCTAGAGTCCAACTCACTAGCTTGGCACTTTGGGATAACCGACACTTAGAAAAATTTTTACTTAGAAAGATTTTTTCACAAGATTTTTTTTGCACACATAAGACTTTTTTAATCATTATGCTTTATTAACAAAAAGTTCCGAGTACATGGCAACTATTACTATAACCGAACTCGGAGGCCCGAGACATACACTATATATGAGGGGTTCAGGAAAAGAGGTATGTTCAAACATCAGATTTTTCAAAATCTCCTCCAGCAGGTAGGTCGGTCTCCATGTGGTCCTCCACGTCGTCTCGACCTGCCTCCTCTAACGGTCTTGCTTCGAGAAGTTCGTCATCACTTTCTCCCTCGGAGGAGTCAGGTTCCTCGTCAGCCTCCTTCGCCATCTATGGTGTAACGGAAGACATGGAAATGGATCCGAGGTCGAGCTTGGGGAACTTCTGTCGCACCAACCACTTGTAGAGCTTGAAGCCCGACCGGTACGAGCCGAAACCATACTCGACCTGGAGGTTGTGAAACTCGGGGGACTCCTTGAACTCCTTGATGGCACGATCTCTCCTGAATCCTTGCCTCCTAAATTGCGGTGTTGAAGATTTCGGTGCACTCCTTAATCATTGCCTCAAGGTTTTTATTCTCCTGGTGGAGAGCTTCCTTCTCCCCCTTGAGCTTCTTCTTTTCCTCCGTTAGCAGTAGAATCAGCTCCTCCTAGCTTCGAGCTCCCTTTTTTGCCTTAAGAATTTCACCCCGAGCTAAGTCTAGCTTGCGGTAAAGCTTCCAAGCGTTCTTTTCGGCCTCTCGAGTTCACTTCAAGCGGATCTCAGATTAATAGACTAGCGAATGGATAGAATGGATAGCAGAGTTCACCTAAAAAAGAAAGCAAGCGTAAGTATCATTGACAAAATGATAAGAAAATAAACGAAGAGGCAGGTTACTTACCACCATACAGTAGCTAGTTGTTCTTCTTCCGAGTTGGCTTGTTGGCATATTAGCGCACTCCGTGACCTCCGTAGGAAACACTGCATCTTTGCTCTTAAGGAGCTTGAGCCTCGGAGTCATTATGCTTTCCTTTGCTGAGGCTCAGGCACTGAAGTATTTTCGGGCTCGTGAGGTGGGGTCTCCTCATCCTGATCTTCTTCCAGGTCAACAACCGGAGGCTAGGAACGAACCTCCTCCCCTGGGAACTCAACAGAGGTTGGCTCTGGCACTACGACCTCGGGTTCGGCAGGAACCGAAGAGGTAGCCTCCTCTCGATGGGACCTTTTCGAAGCCTTTCTCTTCTTCCCCTTCTAAACACTCTTTAAGAGGTTAGCGGCGTTGACACCCGTCATAGCTCCTACAAAAGAGAAGAAAAAGAGAATTTTTTCCAATCAGCTACGAACTAAAGTAAGTGCAAAAAGAAAAAAAGGGAGAAGTAATGTGTGTGCCGAGGTAGAGGTCTACTAGGAGGACTCAGCCCAGCTCGCGCAAGCTTCTCCTCGGCTAGAAAATCTTCCATCTCAAGGCCAAGGTCCTTCCAAGAATGGATGACCGCCCTGGTCTCTACATCCAACCTCACCTCGGGGTCCTTAATGGCCACTTGCCAGTGAGTCGGGAATGGCCATCCTTTGGGGTTCCGAACAAAAAAATACTTTCTCTTCCAGGCCGATACCTTGTTTGGGTTACCGAATAGGACCTTGAACCCGAGGCAAGGTGAGATATAGTAGCTCTGTCGGGTGTCGCCGAACAGGCAAGAAGAATTTTTCTTAATGGAACAAATTGAGCTAAAGATGTCTAGAGTGAGAGGTCGGTTATACTCGTGGAAGAGCGAGATCGTACCAACAATAGTACGGATGGAGTTCAGGTGTAGCTGATTGATAGTGACGTTAAAAAGCTTAATAATTTCTACGATGAAGGGGTGGAGTGGGAAGCGCAACCCAACTACGAGCTGCTCCTCAAAAACCGCAAGTTCATAATGGTCGTGAACCCAAGGGTACTAACCCAAAGGAATACTGAAGACGAGAGTATTGGGGAGACGGTAACGAGCTATTAAGGACAGCAACCTGTCCGAGGTCATCGTGGAACAGCCGAAGTTGTCCGGATCCTGACCTCGAGTAGAAGACGAGACCCTCTCTCCGGAGGTCGACCTCTCTACCTGAGGTTCGGGTCCCTCAAACCGAGATGGCTCAACGTCAGGTAAAGGCATTTCTCCTAAATGGTTCAAAGAGGAGCTCTCTAGCGAAGAGCTAGCCTCACCAGCGAAAGCGGAGGACCGCACCTCGACATCCTCGGGCTCACTAGAATCATTAGGTAACCTATCTATGCTAGCACTAGACATATTGGATAGGAAAAGAAAAAGGGAACAACTAGTGAAAGAAGACGAACTCACCAAAGAAGGCGATAACGACCTCAGACACAAGGGGAGAGAATGACGAGCTGAAGGACTCCGATGCGATCTCAAGAAAGCTCAGTTAAACGATTTATGGCGAGGATAATGGGCCCTTCAACCCCTATTTATAATCCACCACATCCGGCAATCAGCAGTTGAGATCTATGCGATTCGACGACTCCCATGAAAACCGATTGCACGCTACCCGAGGACGAAATCAATTGAGCGCGCCCTTTGACGTCCGCGGAATTTGTAAACAGTGTGACGTTCACGCATAACCGAAACACGATCTGGGTCATTTCCCGGTTGAGCCAGATGATTGAACAGGTCCGACCAACAATCCACCCTCCAAGTCACCTAAATTTTGTGCCAAATCCACCTGAATTCGTCATGAACTCCCCGAACTGAGTCAGGACCCCTGGCACGAGTGGGATGCAATTGATGAAGGGTGATTTGGCACGACTTAATAAGAAGAGGTCACGTGGACGCGATTTGCTCGAGGGGTGACAACTCAGCCAAAGGAACGCAGTTCACAACAATTAGAGGTCGGGTATTCAATCAATCTCGGCCCAAAACCACCTCGACACCCAATCCAGTTCGGGGCTAAAGAACCGAAGTACTAGTTCGGAGCTAAAGAGCCAAAACGCTACATAATCGACTCCAGAAGCCTCCCCAACGGACCCCAAATTTCTCGGGATCACGACGGGATTCATCCTCACTCTGCCCGAATCGGAGGAAAACGATAAACCTTATCAACTGACACATTGCTTTCCTTAAAAAATGCAACAAATCTTATCTACGCAGCCTGAAGATCCCGAAGCTTTTTCGTAAAATCCACGACTAATCCACTATATAAGGACATCAAACCCCAAGGCAAAGGTACGCACAATTATTTACTCACTAGTACTCAAGCATTCTAGTATTCAGCTCGTCGGGTTAGCCACCCCAAGTTCTCTGATTTATTATCTTGCAACTTGGTCCAGCTTGCCACGCAATTGGTATTCGGATCATCTTCCAGATAGGAGTACCTAGATCGCGCACCATCAAGTTATAAATAAAAAGAAAGGAAAAACAAAACAGAAAGAATCAGATATACAAAATTAAGTCCAAATGTCAAAAAAAAAATAAAATAAAATAAAAAAGAGAAGTATGGACAGGCCTAATGCAGATATCTGATTTCCACTACAAAGTTATAAACATTTTAAAGGTCAAAAACCCACACTCTATGCACCCATACCCGCCTATGAATTGGCATCAATTCTGAGCTGGGACCTACCCCAAATATACTTTTGAGCCTACAAATTCTGACCCTGGGCTGAACTGTCATTCTCCCCCCCCCCCAAAAAAAACAGGAATCCCATCATTGAGCCAAAAACTATGAACACTACGGCTGAATAGCAGGGCCCTTGTATTCTCCCTGGCGCATATATAGATCATTTGGTGTGTCCATCTCCTCGAGCCATGCATATTCTTCTTCTTTTCCATCGCTTATCCTGAATCCATTTTCCATTGCTGCAAGAGTAGTATATTTGATTCGATTAATTCTAAAGTTCAAAATCATTTTACCGTTATTTAGTAGACATTGGAATTTGAAAGTTTTTTATTCCGCTTGAGTAAAAACTTACAGAAGCTCGAGAAAGGATAATCATGATAGTAAGTACATTTCCTGCCAGCAGCTTCTTGGTAAGGAGGAGTGAGAATGTCAAACACAGCACATGGGGTAACTCCTGTGAAGCAATGCAGATTACCCCCACTTTTAGGGTACAAGATTGAAGTCCCACATGGTGCTGTTATAACTTTGTCAACGGTCAACTTTGCCAATCTAACTGCCAAAGAAGAGGGAAGCTCTGTCAAGTTCCCAAGAACATTTATCTGTGAAAATCAGCAAGAATGGTATGAAAACTTAGTGCGACTGAGAACAGATTTCAGTATCTGCATTTTGTCTCTTTTGAACACTGAAGCACTCATCTCCCTACTGGAACATGGTCACCAACCGCATTATGGCATCAGTGTAGAACAAGGCTTTTCTGGTCCATATGTAAAATCATGTTGATTATGACAATTACTGGTTAAATATTAAATGCTCCACCACAATTCCCTCCTTTAGGCAGCAATACTAGAACATTTTGCACAGGTTAACTAGACTGATCAGTTGATCTTAAGGATCCTGAACTTCATGATATGTTTGGAATATGGCCCATGCGCCTAGAGATACCAGTTCCCAGAGAAGCAAGTCCATGCTGCCCATCATTGTTTTTGTTCCTTAAGCTATCATTCTTTATCATAGCATGGTGAGAAGAGGTATGACAGTTTGCCATATTGTACCTAGAATACCAAAGGTCTCATTTGTAGTGTGAACCTTAGGCTGCTTTTGGTAAGAGTGCAAATGCTGAACCAAAGAAATTTGGACTTTGCTTTTACAGGCTTTGGTAAGAATACGTTTTTGTACTGAAAATTGAATGTAAATTTGTTTTTTTTTTTCTGATATCTTTTTTGCATTCAAAATGGGAGCAAAGATTGCTTCCAAACTTTGCACTCGAAGTTGGTCAATGTAAAAAAGGTAGGTTCCAGTCTTCAAATTTGTGTTTGTACCCATCACAACCAAACATGACACAAAGTGTATCAATGCAAATCAAGTTTGTATTTTCATGAACTGAACATATTTTCATTTGCACTCTTACCAAACACAGCCTCATGGTAGAGATCTCTGGTACTATTATCCTGTTATTATTGATACAATACATATCTCATTTTCAGATAAATCCTGAAAATATCGAGCTAAGAATTGTAGTCTAGCCAGAAAAAATAGTACTGAAGTTATATGAAGCTCTAGAAACTTGAGTCACCAAGTTTTAGAATCCTACCTGGGGGGTAACCTGGTCCCCTGCTCTTCAGCACATAGGCAGGTTCAACCCAGTCATAGGCTTTCACATGCATGGAACCATAAAGTACTTTGCTCAACACAGTCATGCCGGGATGGTCATGGAGCGGAATGACTGATGAAGTTGGCAAGCAAAATATACACATCTGAAAAGAAAAAAGATTTAGTTAATTGATAAGTTTGGAAATCTTTCCATATGGCTTTTCTTTAATGCATGGCATAGGACCCTGTGATCCATCATTATTATTATTATTTTTTTGATAAATGTGATCCATCATTATTATTTAATGCTTTTTATGGGAACTTTGTTTTTTTATGATATATCAGGATGGACCAAAAAGGATATGAGTAGAAGTAATAAGAAATGATTTAAGCACTTATAATTTAACAGTAGATATGGCTTTAAATAGAACGGATTGGCAAAGCAGGATTCATGTATCCGACCCCATATAGTTGGGATAAGGCATGGATGATGATGGTGGTGGTGGTGGTAGTGGTGACGATATCAGGATGAGCTCCCTTCAAAAATTGTACTTTACAATGTTTTTTCATTTTTTTTGATCAGTTGTACCTTACAATGATGTTAGAATCTCTCTCCATGCATTTTTCATCCAAATGCAATATAAAGAACGAGAGAGAGAGAGAGATTTCCAAACTATTGGGGTTTCTAATCACCTTCCTGGAGTGATTGTTACATGGATACTGGTACAATTGTTGAAATTAACAATATGTACTATATGTTTTGTTTTATGCAGGGAATATAAGGCCATTACCCAATGTTGGTCCCCGCTATCTGGATAAGGGTGTAACCTTTGGCATTTTTACAACAAATATAATAATAAAACAAATTAGATATAGAAGCATACATACCACTGCAAAATTAGAATAATTTATAGTTGATTGCACTAATTTTCAAGTATTACACATCCATACCCAAATTTCATCTTAATAATTTAATAAGATTCTTTAGTCACATATTGAGCAAAGAGAAGAGTTCCATCAAGTATTAAGGGGGCGTTCTTTTTCTGGATTTTGAGAGGGGGGGAAGTTGGTCAATGGGATTTTGATTCTCATTGACAAAAAATCCCATGTTTTTTTTTCAGATTTATGTGGGGACCAGGGAAAGTTTATTTTCCTGGGTATCACTTACCTGTAAATAACTTTCCCACCTTGGGGGAAAGTTGCCAACACTTGAAAGGGACAAAAATGCCCCTTGTAATAATGGATTTTTATAGATAAAATGGTCATTGCCTTATTTACATGGAAAATAAAAGAACATGGGTAAATGCACTTATCCAGGTAAATCTTTCCTGGGAAACAACTACCTGGGTAAGTAAATTTTCCCGGGTAAATAACTTACCGAAATGCGAACAGGGCCTAAGTTTAGCATCAGTATGTGTATGACAGGAGTAAGACAAGCGTTTTGAAGTGTCAATGTAAAATAATGTTGAGTCACCGCAGTTCTGCTATTGCTATTATTCATAATCTCATATTAACTGAAGAATCTCTTTTTCTGTTACTTCGGCCATGTTTGATTTGATAGAAAATAAGAGAGAAACAAAAATCGAAGGGAAGGTTCTTAATAATTTTTTGTGAAATTTCTTAAGAACTTCCCCTAAATTTTCTGTCTATCTTATTTTTTATAAAAGCAAACACAGCCTAAGTAACGAAAAAGTGATTTTGCAGTTAATATGCGATTATGCTTAATAGCAATAGCAGAATCTACAATTTCATGAATCTCAGTTTCTTATAAAAAGAATGTTTGCTTAGTTGCACATATACATGCTCACACACGTAAAGGTGTGCACATGCACAAGTTACAAATCCAAATATTAATTACACCAACATATTCCTATTATAGCAGGCTGTCTAAACTCTAGAGAGGTTCAAAAAAGTTTGAAAGATCATCAAGAGTAACAGCTGTGAAGATTATCAATAAGCTAATGAACTAACCGTAAAACTATCACTTTGATATATGTCTAAGTAGGTTATTGGTTGAGTCCATCGAACTGCTCTGTCATAATGATTGAGTCCAAAGACACCATGCCCTCGGTCATCCTCTGTGTTATCCTCTTTGAGACCAGCATCAGAAGGACCTATTTTATCTGCAAAACATGATTTAGCATTTAAGACGAAAATAGTATTTTTTCTTGAAGAGTAAAAGGAAAACATAGAAAACATAATCATTTATCATCTTTCCAATTATTGTTGAGTTAAGGAAAGATTGTATTATTTGTTGAGAAGGCAATGAAGGGCCACACATCTACACAACATTTACAAGATGAGACTCATGTACCAATGTTGTAAGACTCAGATCGGACGAAAAACTGGAATGCTCATTGGGTCACAGTTTTACCGGTTAACTGGATGGTTAGCCTGTTCAACCTGTGAAAACCATCATCTAACCAAGACTTGAAAAGGTCACCCATTCCTAGTTTTCACGATTCAACTGTCTGGGCTGGTCAAAATCCTACACCACTGCCATGTACAATATACTTTTTGAAGGTAAAAGATTTTCATTAAAATAAAAAGAGAAATTACAAGAAAGGTGACCAGAATGTTGACCCTATGTATTTTGATGATAATAAACTCATTGAGAGTACTAACAATGTGAAAGGATAAGTATACAGCTATAGCAAATGATTCCTGGTTGAACTCAAGAGACTTGATGAAGCCAATGATGATTTGAGGCACAAAGGAGCAATTGATTCAAATGATGGACAGAATTCTCCCCAAGCCAAGAAAAGCAAGAAAAGTGTGCAGCTGCAGCAAACATATCCTAAGTTGAACTCAAGAGATTTGATGAAGTAAATGATGATCTGAGGCACAAAGGAACAGCTAACTCAAATGATGGACTGAATTCTCCCCAAGCCAAGAAAAGTAAAAAAAAAAAAAAAAAAAATGATGCTCCATGACAACATGAGAGAAGGAGGAGACATCAAGCTCTAGTGGTTTTTACGTGTTTCATTCTTTCTAGGACTTGATGCAATCATTTGCAAGATGCACAACATTGGACTTAACTGTGACTAAGCTTAGCATTACCAAGACAAAAAGACCAATGGTTAGATTAGTCTTAGGTGGCTAGGCTTTCCCTAGACTTTATCTAAGCTAAAATGTGAAATTTCTAAGGAAGCCTAAGGAGTCCATTTCTTAACTCTAGGTGTCACCAACTAAAGTTTTTTGAGGTTGGTCATATCCTATAGTTGACTGCCCACAAGGCAGTAGTCAACTACGTGACAGCCGAACTGGTGTCACTTAGTTGACCACCCATTAAGCAATAGTGACTACCTGTAACAATCGAGCCCGGTGTCACATAGACCTTGGCCAGTAGTTGACTAATGAAATGGGATGTGCTACTATCCTTGACAACCAAGAACTTAATTAGTTGACTAACAAGATATAGAAGTCAACTACCAGAGATTCTCCCTTGCAAGTAGTAGTTGACTACCAAAAGATATCAATCGACAACCAACTCCTGACAAGGTTGAAGCAGTCGACTACCAGTTCGAGCCAATCAACTATTTCACGAAAAAGAAAGAAGTTTTTTATCGTTTGAAGGCTCAACGGCTCTTTCCTCTTCTAGTAAGTTTTCAATCTTGTTGGAAATAAGTTCTAAACATTTCCTAGAAAGGATTAATCTTTTCCCGATGGATCTATAACGATTATATGCTCTCTAAGCATGCTTCTTGCTATAAGTTTTTTATTTTGTGATTCATTGATCATCTCCAAGAGTTTATGAATCTCTTCAATGCAGTAGCACATTGTTGTTTAGCATTTTCTTGCATCTAAACAGTTTGTTTGTAATTGTTTTTATCAACCTATTGAGAGGCATTACATTGCATGTGCTTACATTGTTATTATCATGTTGTATCCAAGTGTTCAGGGATTGAACATCACTAAAGGTCTGGTTCGCACCCGTAAGCCCAACTGTTGTGAAGGTCTTGTTGGCACCCAAAAGTCGAACTGGTTGTAAAGGTTTTGCTAGCATTGTGAAGTCTAGATGCTTTTAGTGGAAACTCTCAGGTGGTGTGCTTGGGGAAAGGATGTAGGCACAAACCAAACCTCTATAAATCCTTGTGTGTGCTTTTATTGTTTATAGTTAATGCTTGTTTTGTGGATACTTACTTCATACTACTTTTGTTTATCACACAAGCACTCCATACTATATTTCTCTCTATTTATCTTCGTTTAGTACAATAAGTTTTAAAAAGGCATTTGGGAAAGAAAAACTTGTAGAACCCAATCCCCCCCCCCCCCTCTCTTGGGTCAGGCTACTTAGTCTATCAGAGAAGTCACCCGAGAGAAGAAAGGAAGAGACCCACACCAATTACTATTTCCCTCTAACCTCCCCACTTGCTTCTTTTCTTGATAAATGAGTGAAATTTTATTAAACCAGCAAATAAGAGTTACATGCCACCCGTGGAAAGGCACAAGATGAGACCTTTCCTTTAAAGCTAATTACAGAATTACAAGTACAAAAGAAATTACATTGAAGCCCAAAATAAAGCATCCCGGGAAACCCCTTGTTTTGCAAGTGAATCAGCCAATGAGTTTGTTGATCTACCTACCCACTGAACTCTAATTGTCATATTCCTTGTTAACCATTTAACCTTTTTGATAAGATCTCTAAAACCCCAAATCAGTGTCTGGATCCTTCGGCCAACCCACTATCACCTGGGAATCTCCTTCAATAATTAGATGCTCTATGCCTAACTGATTTGCAAGCTAGATTCCTTGTACAACAGCCAGTAATTCGGCCCTTCAAGAGTCTCCCACACCCGCTGGACCTGAGTACAAAGATATCACGTTACTATCTTTGTTTCTCAGCACTCCTCCTATGCCTGAAGGTCCTGGATTTCCTCGGCTACTTCCATCAAAGTTCAGATTGATAAACTCCTCCCCTAGTGGCATCCATTCAACCCCATGTCTGTCCTTCCTGGTAGAAGTATTAGCCACTGCTAACCAGTTTCTCCATAGGTCATCAAAAGAGTATGCATCAAAGATCTTTAGAGTTTTCAACCATTGAATTGCCCTTGTCAAAATACATTCTCTAACTTCCAAGAAGCTCCTTTCTTTTTCACAAAAGATTCTGGTGTTCATTTCTTCCCAAACTGTCCACAACAAAGCTGCTCTTATGCACTTCCACATAATTTTCCCTCTTTGTGTGCCATTCAAAAATGGACGGACTAAACAACAAACTAGTATCAGATGGCAGGTTCCACCTACACTCAAACAACGCAAGGATCCAATTCCATAAAGCTGTAGCAAAGGAGCAAGAAATCAGTAAGTGGTGACAGTCCTCATTCTGAGATTTACAAAGAACACACCAATTAGGGGATAGGCACCAATTTGGTCTTCTCTTTTGTAGGTTTTCAAAGGTGTTAATCTTACCATAATACTTCCCAACAAAAAACAACAATCTTGGGGCAATGGGCCTAGTCCAAAATTCTTTAACTGGGAAATTCTGAGGTGTAGAAATGGAACAAAGGGACTTGAAGAAAGAAGAGCAAGTGAACAAACCTTTCGGGTTAGGGATCCAATTTCTTGTATCAGGTTTGAGGGGATCTAAACAAATAGACTCAAGTGAAGACAATAAATCTGAAACACAAGCACTTTCATCATCACGTAACCCTCTACGAAAACCAAAAGCCCAATTTAGAGCCACAAAAGAATTTGAGTAGGAAATAAAACTAGAAACCGACTCTTCCTTATAAAGGGAAAGAGAGTAAAGAGAGGGAAAAAGTTCTTTAAGAGGTTGGTTGCCCACCCAAATGTCTTCCCAAAAAAGAACAGTGTCCAGAATTAGCATCATACTTGACCAGATTGAGAAAATGGGGAAGAATTCCATGAATGGCCTTTTAGGGTGTCGCAAGAGTCGCCCATTGAGATACCCGACATCCCAACCGTTCTGCAAACAGCCATGAATACTGACTATCTAACGGCCATCTCCAAAGCCACTTCCCTAGTAAAGCTTCATTCTTAAGAACTAGATTTCCCAATCCTAATCCCCCTTCTTCCTTACTCCTACTRACTATCTYCCWCCTAATCAAGTGATCCTTCTTCTCTTCCCCTGGCTCCCACAAGAAATCCCTCATCACYTTTTCTAGCTTCTTGGCTTCCCTTGAGGGTATCTTGAATACAGAAAGAAAATAAACCAGAAGACTAGCAAGTGTTGCCCTAATCAAGGTCACTCTACCCCCTATAGAAATGTAACTTTTTTTCTAAGCAGCTAGCCTCTTTTCAAACTTTTCCACAATTGGATACTAGAACCGACTTTCTTTTGGGTTAGCTCCTAACGGAAGGCCCAAGTAGGTTAAAGGCCAATCAGATATGAAACACTGTAGAGAACCTGCTATAGCCTCTACCTCCCGATCTTCCAAATTGATTCCCACCACACAACTTTTGTCAAAATTAATCGATAGGTTTGAAGCGGACTCAAAGAATTTAATAAGATCTTTTAGGTTCCTCACTCTCCCTAAATCTCCCCCTTCACAAAAGATGGTGATATCATTAACAAACTAAAGATGAGTCACTGTGACATTATTCCTGCCTATCCTCCAACCTCTTATTAGCCCTTCCCTATCTGCTTTATAAATCATTCTACCGAGCACATTTGCCACAAGTGTGAACAAAAAGGGGGAAAGAGGATCTCCTTGCCTGAGCCCTCTACATGCTGGGAAGAAGTCCTTGACCCCTCCATCAACTAGAACTGAAAATTGGCAAGATGTTATGCATCCGCTCACCCACCTACACCACCTATCCCCAAATCCACATTTCCTTAGCACTTCTAATAGAAAATCCCAATCCACAGAGTCATAGGCCTTCTCAATGTCTAGCTTACAAATAAAACCTTGATTGTCGGATCTCCTCATTTCCTCCACACATTCATTTGCTATAAGGATCCGATCTATAATTTGCCTATCTTGGACAAAAGCACCCTGGGTTTGAGTAATGAGAGATGGAAGGACCTTTTTAATCCTTAAAGAAAGCACTTTTGCCACAATTTTATAAATGTTGGTCACCAAACTAATCGGCCTGAAATCTTTAGGGTGTTTGGTATCTAATCTCTTTGGGACGAGAGCTAAGAACGTGGCATTAACTCCGC